GTGACAGCCCTGCCTTAAACTCAGGGGTTCACAGAGGCGAATGTGTCTCTGCCTACTTGGGAGAGGATGAGTAGATTCTGACATAGTGGGTTTGAGCTGCAGCTGGCTGGTCCTCTATAGCCAGCAGTCACAGTCAGTATCCTCATCCTCCCCCAGCAGCAGCATCCCAGGGGAAGCAGGAATTGACGTGCCATTAAAGAGGTTTTAAAGTGAGGAAACTGTCAGCAGACTGCCTCCGCTTTCCAGCACTGAAAGAATGGAAGTACAGATCGGGGGTGCACTAAGGACACAGAAAACAGCTTTGGAATATATGTCACTGTAAATTATATTTTATATGTTATGAGAAACAGAAGAGACAATTAGTGCTGTCTCCACTGCCAAAAAATGTGTTGGACAAATCAAAAGATTTATTTTTCCCATCCGACAAAAAAAAAGTAAAAAAAACAACACATTCTTCTCAGTGTAAAGTAAAACTGATCGTCGTTGCTGACAAAATATTTTATTAGAAGATATAAGAAATGTAATAAATAGTAATTATGCATTAAAATTGTCTTGTTGTCACATTTCAGTGACCTAAAAAACTCCAAGATACAATAGTGGTTCTGTAAGTAATGAGCCGTCGTCGCCAAACCAAAGGGTGATGTCATTTGTTTAACCCATGGTGCAGTTATCCAGCAGAGGAGATGACCTCATTTCCTGTGTCTAACTTGGTAATCTGAGTTTTGAGGGATTTGCCTTTGACCGTAGAGTTTTCATTCCAGAAGAACTAATATGAACGGCTGATATTTTGTGTTAAAGTAGGCTGACATGATGAGATATTATTTTGTAAAACAATTGTTTTTCATGCTTGTACGACAAACAAATGTTTTGCCCTACCTGCTGCACACTGTTGCCATGAATGATTTCCTGCATCTCTCTGCCCCTCCCTACAAACAACACCACAACTGGGGAAAATTCTGTAAACAACTCATGAAGTGGATGAGACCATCACTTAATCACACTCTCCTTTACAACAAACCCAGAAGCGCGTCTGTGGTTTCACTTTTATTACACAGGGTTTACAGCAGCAGTGATAAAATGTTGAATAAAAATAAAATGACGGTCAATAACATTATGTCAACAAACTGAACGTGGCAGTTGTCTCCATCACCCATAAGTCCTTGGTTTAAGTCACAAGTATTAAACGCTAAAGGGGGATTGGGAGCCCTGAGGTCACATGCATGACCTTTCACCTTGTTTGCGTGACTGACTCACACTGGGCCGAGATGCGATCAGAAATGTGGTCTCTGATGGTGAAGCACAAATAGCAGACAAACAAAATTAACCATAGGTTGACACCTACGTACACAGAAAATAAAATCTTCTTCGATGGTTTTTAAATGATGTCAATGAGTGTAGGTCACATGGTGCGATGCAGACACTGGATGTGAAAAATCGAGTTAAAAGAGAAAGCAGGAAAAAGAGGAGACAGTGTTATTGACATAATATAACGCAGCATGTGTAAATATAGACAGAGACAGAAGAGTCCTCAGTTTACCCCGGGAATTCCACCAGCAGTCTAGGCCTATAGCAGTATAACTAAGGAATCTTCAGGTTCATATGAATCACTCCTAAATATAAGCTTTATCAAAGAGGGAGATTTGAAGTTTTACTTAAAATGTGAACACTGTGTCGCCTCCTCCCAAACCCACACTGGAGGTTTTTTCTGTCCCATGGGGACAGTGTTTCATTTTCACAATAGAAAAAAATAAAGTTATAAATAAACTAATATATAAAATAATCTATGTCATTAAATGTAGTTTACCAGACCTAACAAATTTAATTTGTTGTTTTTAATTTTATTTTGTTTTTCATTAATAAACATTACATAATCCTGGTGTAAGATGTTTGGGTCAAATACTATTATTGTACTTTTAAGGCAGTAGTTCTAT